CACACTCTCCCGATGTTGCCGCGTCGGGCTCGTCATCCCACGGTTTCACATCCAGTAAGATGGAAGACTTGGCAACAAGCGCAGGCTTTTTGGCTTTCTTCTCTTAGCCTCTGTGCGTCTTCACTTTCTCCCTCCTCATCAGATCCAAAGAGACCATCATCCTTACGGCCGGCAGCTCCACTTCCTGTGGGTCTTCCATGTTAGTAGGGCCATACTTGCCCAAAGCTTTCTTTACTCCTGGCAAACTGGCCTTTTCCTTTTCCTAAGACTTGATGTGATGATACCAATGCAGGGCATGATACAAGTCGGCTGGCGGAGCGCTGGAGATGGCTTTAAACACCGCCACCTCTGCTTGGGATGGCACACACTCCTCGGCGTAGCGTCTATCTGCCAGGCAGTCATTGAGCACCTGGGGCCAGCAGGGGTTTTCAGGTCTCTGAAACTCATCGTGTTGGCTGTCTTGGAAGCTGGGTGGCAATGGAGGAAAGAAGGGGTGAAGGCCATTGGGGCCAAGTGTGAAGAGAGGGACAAAAAGGTCCATGTTCTTTTGATACTGTCTGCATCATTCAATGTTTTGCCCATAATTCTTGCAACTCAAGGCTTACTTTTTTCTTGAGTTCTTACTTTAAAATATGCTGAGCATGTTCTTCCATTTGGTTTTCTAACTTTGATTCTTTGCACATTTCATTATATTTTACTCTGGCCTTTGAAATTTTCTGTTCAGCTCTTTGACTTCATTATTTCTTCCATTTGCCTTAGCTACTCTACTATTAAGAGCAAATTTCAGGATCACTTCTGACATCCACTTTGATCTTTTCTTCCTTGCCTGTCTTTTTATGACCTTTTGCTTTCCTCATAAATGATGTTCTTGATGCCCTCCCACAGAACATCAGGTCTTTTATCATTAGTGTTGAATGTATCAACTCTGTCCTTGAGATGTTCTTGAAATTCAGTGGAATTTACTCACGGTCATATTTTGGCTCTTGTGGACTTGTTTGTAATTTTCTTCAACTTCAGCCTGAACTTACCTAGAAGCATTTGATGTTCTGTTCCACAGTCAGCCTCTGGCCTGGTTTTGACGATTGATTTTGAGCGTCTCCATAGTCTCTTCCCACAGATGCAATTAATTTGATTTCTGTGTGTTCCTTCTGGAGAAGGCCATGTGTAATAATTGTTTGTGTTGTTGGAAAAAAGGTATTTTTTAATGAACAAGTAGTTAGTCTTGTAAAATTCTAGCATGGGATCTCCAGCTTCATTTTTCTCAGCAACACCCTGTTTTCCAACTACTATTCCTTCCTCTTTGTCTCTAACATTTGCATTCCAATTGCCAACTATTATCAATGCATCTTTACATATTTGATCAATTTCTTACTGAAGACATTGACAGAGTTCTTCAATCTCTTCACCAGTAGCCTTCATGTTCGGTGCATGTTTAGAGTAGTGGTTTTGAATGGGTTTCCTTGAATGCAGATAGATGCAATCCTGTCGGACAGCATTGACACTAACAGGCCCTTTTGGAGGGTGACTGCACGGCCATTCCTTTTGAGTGTGTCATTTCCAGCATCGTAAACCATATGATTTCCTGATTCAAAATGCCCAGTGCCAGCTGCCTCCACGTCACGAATGCCTAGAATAGTGGTCATTTTGAGTTCCGCTTTATTTTTGATAACGTCTCATTTTCCTAGATCCATCCTTTACACATTCCAAGTTCTGATTATTAGTAGAATTTTGCAGCTGTTTCTTCTCATTTTGAGTCTCTCCTTCATCAGCAAATGAAGACCCTCAAGTCTTGACTCCCACAAGCGCCACTCCATCCATATCATTGTGGTCGGCGGTGCTTTGAGAGGGCAGCTCTTCCTCACTCATTCTTTGGGTGCCTTCTGGCCTGAGAGGCTCATCGTCTGGCACTTTCTCTCACCAGCTCTGCTTCCACTTATGGGTTCACTGGAAGGTTGTCAGTGGCTAATTCCTCAGAAGTGGGCAGCCTTGGGGGGCACATTTCAGCAAAGGAGGGTGAGAACGGTTGCCCAACCTGAAGAATGCCATCAAATTGTCATCAATGTCACGTAAAGAAATCTCTGTGGTTCAAACATCCATTTCACTATGTGTATTTCCAAAATAAATAAACAAACAAAAACAATACTTTTTTTTTGTAAAAGCCCAGCAACCCTGTTCTTAAAATGGGCAAAGGACTTGAAAAGACATTTCTCCAAAATGGCCAACAAGCGCATGGGAAGATGCTCAACATTGTTGGCCATGGAAACCAAAACCACTGCCCAGGACCCCTTTGAAGTGTGGAAAAGCAAGGACGTTACATTGTGGACCAAGGTGCGTCTGACCCAAGCCATGGTATTTTCAGTCACTTCATGTGCATGAAAAAGTTGGACATCGAACTAGGAAGACCGGAGAAGAATTGATGCCTTTGATTACGGTGCTGTCAAATAATTTTGACAGTTGGATGGACTGCCACAAGAACTAAAAAAACCTGTCTTGGAAGAAGTATGGCCAGAGTGCTCCTTAGAGGCAAGGAGGGAGAGACTTGGTCTCACGTGCTTTGGACGTGTGGTCAGGAGAGAGCAGTCCCTGGAGAAGGACGTCATGCCGGGTAGAGTGGAGGGCCAGGGGAAAAGAGGAAGACTGTCCACTAAATGGATTGGCACAGTGACTGCAATGGTAGGCTCTCACAGAAGAACAAGTGTGAGGATGTGGCAGGACCGGGCAGTGCTTCGTTCTGTGGCACATAGGGTCGCTATGGGTCAGCACGACCTGATGGCACCCGACAGCAACTGCCTCCGGGTCAATTCTGACTCACAGCAACAGGAGAAGCACCCATAGGGTTCCATGGCTGCCGATCTTTCTGGAAGCAGGCGGCCACATCCTCCACCTGTGGGGCTGGGGGCCAGGTTAGAACAGCCCTGTCTCAGCCAGGGCACCGCCTGGGCTCCTTCGTTCACTAACCATGTGGGGGAGGCAAATCCGAACCACACGGAGGCACACTTCAAGCCTGGGGCTGTGACTGCCATCAAGCAGATCCCTCAGTAACCAGCGCTGGCCAGGGTGTGGAGACATTGCCGCCCCCGGTACACGGCTCGTGGGAGCGCTAGATGGTTGCACTGCTGTGGGGAACAAAAAGGTTGATGGTTTCTCAGGGGTTGAGGTATGAATTTCCATATGTTCCTACCCTTCTTTTCCCAGGCAAATACTCAAAAGCAGGGGAAGCAGGCACTATTCTCACTCCCCCAAAGGTGGGACCAGCCCACTTGTCCACCGAGGGATGCGTGGATAAACAGATGGTGGTCTATAGGCACAGTGCAGGGGGGGGCGGGGCGGTATTCATGACGATGAACGTAGAGTCGAGAGGACACAAAGGCCATGTGTCGTCTGGGTCCCGTGTATAGGAAATGCCCAGACTCGGCAGAGTTGGAGAGATAGAATGCAGATGGGTGCTTTCAGGGGCTGGGAATGGGGAGAATCTGCATTCTGGGTGCTGGGCTGTACGTGGGTGAGGTGGAAATAGAGGCAGTGGTTGTACAACACTGGCTGGAGTCAGTGCCACTGAATCGTTCACTTTCAAGTGGGCACTTTATGCTATGTTAATTTCATCTCAGTAAGTGAGTCTCAGCACGGAGCCCGGGTGTCGTGCTGGTGATACCTGGGCTGCTCACGGCAAGGTCAGCAGTTCGAAACCACCCGCCAGCTCCTTGGGAGAAAGGCGAGGTTTCCTACTTCCACAAAGAGTTACAGTCTTGGAAACCCACGAGGGTAGTTGCACCCTGTCCTGTAGGGTAGCTAGGAATCAGAATGGACTCAAAGGTGGTGATTTTAGTTGTTTTATTTTTCAGAACTTATTCTAAAAAGTGTAGAGAGCAAATGAATGAGTGTGACAGTCATTACATTGCTGGTCAACTATGTGTAGGTACCCTAGCCTGTTGTGGGGAGAAGTCAGATCCTTGCTGCCAGACTGCTGTCTCATCCCACAGCAGGGCTGGGCCTGCTCCCTGCTGCCGGAGACAATAGACTACCTCTCTCTGGAGCCAAAGGCCATTAGTTTGATTCCTGTGGGCAGAGTTCACACCTAACTGATAATGGTTCCTATAGAGACCCAAAATCAAGTCAAGCTGTTACCAGAAATCTAGGAGCCGCCTATCTTGCCGCATGTACACCCCCAATCCCTTCTCCTTCTGTAGTGCATATGTCCCTAGATCACCTCCTCCCATCACTGTAATACCTGTAGCACAACCCTTTCCTGTGACGTATGTCTTCACCTGTAATGTGGGGGCTTGCACGTGTCCCCAATGTCGTGAGAGAGTATAAAAGCTTGGGGAACATTAAAGCTCTCTCTCACTCCCTCCACGTGGACCATCAAGCGGGGCTGAGGTGAGCATGCTATCATAATATGTGTCTGACTCCATTTATTTCTATATATCTCTTTTATCTCTCATGCTCTCTATAACTTTACTATAATATTTACTTATTATCGCTGTACAATTGCGCCTACCAAACCCGTAGTGATTGTGCTAGGAGCTGGCTTCTTCTGGCAGCCTGTGACCTTGGCTTTATCATTGTAGGTTTGTGCAACAGTTGATGTTTGTAGAACAGTGGTGCCTTGGGCAATTTCTGCTTCCTACCCTCCTGTCTGGGACGACCGAAACTCACCCTGTGTGGGTGCGGGGAAATAGAAAAGGGGAAATAGAAAACGGCAGTTCTCTGGCCAACTCTCATGTACCCCCGAGATCCTTGACCTCTGCCTTGCCTGATTTTCAACCCAGCCGTCTGAGTACCTCCTGCAGGGCCTCGAGCCAAACAGGACATATATCCCAGCTCCGCCATTCCTAACCACGTGGCCGTGGGCAAGTCACTGACCTTCTCTGACCCTCGACATCCTCGTTTAAAATGAGGATGGTGGTGAGGACCTGGGGAGGTGACACAGGTGAGTGCCCCCACCCCCATGTTTATGGCCCGGTCACAGTGAAGGTTTTCCTCCCCCTTCTCCCTTTCAGTCTGCCGACATCGACAACCACCACGCGCTCATCGAATACAACGAGGCCGAGCACAGCTTCATCCTCCAGGACTTCAATTCCCGAAACGGCACCTTCGTCAATGACTGCCACATCCAGAATGTGGCGGTGAAGCTGTTGCCCGGGGACATCCTGAGGTTTGGGGCCACGGGGCTGACCCACGAACTGGTGATCGAAAACCCACCCACGGTGAGTATGGCCACCGCCGGGCAGCGGGGCAGGAGGGGCTGTGTGGAGTGACCCTCCTGCAGCCTGGGGCACAGAGGGGACCCAAGAGGACCTTTCAGTCTGCGTCTGGCTTGGCTCTGTGGTCTCACACAAGTGGCAGCCATCGATTCCTTGCTGTCTCTGGGGAAGCTGGTGTCAGAGGAGAGTCTTAGCTCCCTCTTCTGGTCATTTCTTGGAATTACACTCAAGTGTGGCATGTGGGCGCGTGGCAATGGTACTACAAATAACACAAAAAACTGTTGCCATCTAGTGGGACATCCTGTGTTCCAGAGCGGCACTGTGTCCTGCAGGGTTTGAATGGTGTGCGTGGTTAAGCACTTGACCGCTAGGTGAGGCGTGAGGAATGTCGTTTACACACCATGTAATGGCCCCACATCCAGTGCACAATCCGATAAGCTTTAGTAGACTGAAAGATATGTACAGCCACCACCACAATCTACTTTAAGAACATTTCCATCACCCACAGAGACACTCTGGGGGAAACTGCCTTAAACTGGGCTTCTTATATGTAGACCAATATGGGGAAGCGGTGAAACACGGACTTCAAAGGCCTCTGGCGCCTGGCAGGGAAGGACAAGAGGCTGACCTGTAGCAAGAGAAAGCAAAGGATCTCCCACTGGCATGAGGAATTGCTGGGCTGTACAAATGGCCAAGCACTAGACTACTAACCAGTGGGTTCATGGTGTAAACCCCCCCGCCGCCCCCCAGAGGAACCTTGGGGAAACACCTGGTGGCCTGCTTCCCCAGGGCCACAGCCACAAGAGCCCTGTGGAGAGCTACAGCACACAGGGTCCCCACGGGCCAGAAACAACCCAGTGGTTGTTTGGTGTTTTTGTGTAACTGGGGGGCTAATGCACTTGGCTGTTAACCAAAAGGTTGGAGCTTCATGTCCACCCAGAAGCACCTTGGAAGAAAGGCCTGGTGATCCATTTCTGGAAAAAAAGAATCAGCCATTGAAAAGCCTACACCCGGGGGTTTGCCCTGAGCTGAAATGCACTCCATAGGGACTGGGTGTGTGTGGTAGCTAATGGGGACTGTGATGCTGAGTAAGGACACCGTGCGAAACGACTGACCGTCTTCCCCTGAGTGCTCACAACAACCTCCACAGTCCTCACTTTACAGACAAGAAGTAGACAACCCAGAGACAAGAAGTAATTTTTCCAAAGACACAGCAAGTCGGTGCACATTCAATGCCTGTGGATAGGAGAGCTGAGAAAACCATTTAGTCTGATGCAATAGTACAGACTCAGGCTGGAGAGACAGTAAAGCACACTTTGACGTTTTCACGGTCTTTTGATGGCTCTTAAAATCTGTCCAAGTTTCAACAGACGGCCACACCCTTTGTTCTCCCATGAGGCCTGCAGGCACCCACACAGCTGCTCCCCTAGGGGCATGGCACCTCCTTTGTTCCTGCTGAGCTTTCCCCAGCAGGGCCCTCCCTCCACCTTCCTCTCTCCCGACCCCAACCCTGCCCCAGCTAGGTGGAGACTTTTATGTAAGTATCTTCATACAGACCCCATGTGAATAGGCCATTCACTTCTCA